AAAGCTGGCTCTTGCATTGCTTTCCTTTTAGAATTTAGAGCCTAGTTTTCTTGCTGAGTTCTGCCAGAAACAGATGAGACAAGTGTAGGAATATCTTAAATGGATGCACACATCAACAATCAAATCCTTAAGCCCAGGTTTCTAACCCTAGAGCACAATACAGTGAAGAAAGCACTGAAAGTCTCCATTAAGCTGAGCAGGTGTAGAGTGAACTATTATTTGCTCAACCAGCACAAATACAGATTTCTTTCAAAAGTATGAGCTCCTCACTAACACACATGCATGACTTGCTCAAGGAAGGGTTAGGAAAATGTCATCAGCTGAACCTGACACTCCTTTTCTGCTCATCTAGATCTGGTTTCCTGACTTCATTCTAAGCCAATAGATTTTGAACCAAAATTTATCAAGAAATATTCAGTTTTCCACTGGTGGCTTACCCAACACCATCTGTGATGGTGTTTTTGATGTGTTCAAATTCACTTTCAACAGCCAGAATATAAGAGGCTTTTGCTCCTTCTAACCCCCACATTGGAACATAAAATACACACATCACCATTCTGGAACTTGCACTTGGGAAGCCTGTACTACAAGAGAGAGACCCTTCTCACTGCTGCTGAGAGCAAAACAGGAGACAGAGGGCTTGTTCAATGAATTAATGCATAGGTGTCCTTGCCAGAGACAAAACTTGACTATGCCAAAATCTGGTTAGCTTGTAAAGATATGACATTTATATCTCCAAACTTCAGAGAAAATATAAAATGGTGGAAGAAGAAAATATTAATTAAAAAAAGGCAAGAAAAAAGTAAGAGTAGAAGATGGCAGATAGAATATATGATGATAGAAGTTAATCCAAATATATCACATATGACATATGTCAGTGAAACGATTTCTTCTTGAAAATCAAAGATTGTTAGACTGAATAATGAAATCTGATTTTGTATTATTTACAAAAAACAAAAGATTAAAAAATATATGCTGTGTTAATGTAAATCAAAACAAGGCTACTTTAGCTATATTAATAACACAGAAAATCAATTTCAAAGCAAAAAGCAATATTACTGATAAGGAAAGTCATCACATAATGGTAAATATTTAATTTTAAGGGTGACACAACAGATCTAAATTAATGCACTTATGAAACTTTACAAATATAAAGAGATCTAGAAAGAGAAAATATTGACATATCTACCTAAGAAATTGACAAATCACTGTAAATATTGGACATTTAAATAATTCTCAATATTGGTATAGTAGCATATACAAGTCTTTGCTAAGGCTGTAACAGATTTGAACATACTTAGTAGGACAGATTTAATAGACATATGCAGAATACTGGATCCAACTATTGCAAATACATATTCTTTGCCAACATAAATAAAGTATATATATTTTAGCAAGAATGATATATAATTACTACATTTTAGGTATCTATATAATTTACAACCCCATATAGCATTTCAAAACAAATTTCAAAGATCTTTAAATACAGACATAGTTATCCAAATCCAGCTTAAGAAATCATAAAAAAGAAAATAAACTTTTAAAATATTAATACTTATATGTCAAAGAAGAAATAATATTTAAAAATGTAAAGTACTTAAAACTGGTCATTATTTTATAATAATAAATTAGAGGTGGCGTAGTTAGAGATGAAGCAAAGACATAAAAGATATTATAAAAACTTTTAGTCAAAATATTGAAAATTTAGCTGAAATAAATTCCTAGATTTAAAAAGTACCAAAATTGTCATAAAATATAAAATATTAAGAAAGAAACCTGAGTAACCCTACAACAATTTAATAACTTTGATCCATGATTCAAATTTTTCTTCCAAATACCATTTCATAGCCTTGATATTTTGGTTCACATTACAACCAAACAAAACCAGAAAAGATATCTTTTTATTAACAAAGAAAGATCATATGGACTACACAAGAATATAAAACAAATTAAATGTATAAGGATTTGAAAGGAATAAATGATAGTATTTTCTTTCAGATTCTCAACCCAGAATTCTAAGTGGATAAATTATTATTAGAATTAATTGGAGATTTTAGCAGATGGATAAATAATTATTACAGGAGTCCACGGTAGTTCTTTACACCAGAAAGAAAATTTTAGACAAGAATTGTTTTAAAAAAGAAAAAAAAAATACTTGCAATAGCAACTGAAAATATAAAGCACATAGGAATAAATCTAGTAAATGATCTCAAAGACTGTTTTGGAGACATTTGTCAAACTTTTAAAAATGTTTTTTAGGAAGGCCTACATAAATGGAAAGACATAACGTAGTTATGTATAGGACACAAGAGCTTATAGAATTTAATTTCAATTCTATTTGATCTATAAATTTGTGTGAATAGAATTAAAATTCAATAGGAGTTTTCTTTGATGAATATTACATTTGTATGAAAAAGGCCAAGAAGAATGAAAACATTCCTGAGGAATTAGCTAGAGGGAAATGACTTATTAAATGTCAAAAAATTTTTAAAGCTATAGAGAATGAGACAACATGATAGTAGAACACTGAACACATTTTCTAATGAAATCAAATAGAGGGCTCGAAAATGACACAAAATCCATGGAAACGAGTACAGGACAGAGATACATTGCAGACAAATGGGAAAAGGAAATACTATTCGTCCATACATTGTACTTAAACAAATATCTATATGGGAAAAATAGATATGGATCTTTACCTCCCAATTTACAAACAATTCCAAACATATTAAATCAGGATTGAAATCTGAAAGACAAAACTTTAAAACTTTTGGAAAATATCTATAAGAACAATTTTATAAGCTGTATTTAGCAAAGAATTTCTTAAACAAGACTCTATACAAGCTATAAATACTTCCGCCAGTATATAAGGAAAAGACAGAAAGGAAACAAGGAAAGTCGTGGACAGATATTTCACTAGAAACATAGATGACCAATAGAAATGTGAAAAAGTACTCAAATTTGCTAATAGTGAAATAACATTTCACACTAACATTGTTTGCAAAAACAATAAATGTTGGACCAAATATTGATGGGATTATAAAGCAAAAGGAATTTTCCTTCACTATTAATATGACTATTAATAAAGTCAATTACTTCATTTCTGGTCTGCACTGACCTAAAGAAAAAAAATAAGATAAATTTGCAAAAGTAATTAAATGAGGCATAAATATTTTCCACACTGTGTTATATGAATATTACAGGTTTTCTAAGTCATTAGGTCCTTCATCATTTAAAAAAACACATAAGATAACCTGTATTTGAAAAAAATAAAAGTTTATGTAGATCACTTTGAATTCTGCTGTTGTGCAAAGCTAAAATTTGCAATGCATTACATTGCTTCTTAAGCATAATCTGAGGTTTGGGTTTTGTTTTGTTTTTTTTTTTTCATGATCTGAAACTTTAACACATTCTCCAAGAAGTTAACCTTCATCCAGGAAGTTTCTTAACTTCAGAAGAGTAAAGCCTTCCTGTTTCTTCCACAATGACTACAAAATGGGTCTAGTGTTTCCTCAAGGGAATGGTACTAATTGACTGCTGAGATACTTAAAAAGAACTACGTGATTCTGTGGAATAATGGGCAAGTCATGTATTATTATATTTGGACGTTTTTTCCTCTAATGAACTCTTCAGATTTTTTTTTTTTTGGTTGGTATCATTCCAAAAATTATAAATTAGGAAGAAATGTGTGTTCTCTCCCAAAGGGCAAGTTGAACTTTGTTCAGAATGTTTAAGAAAACATCCGGTGGGATGTTTGCTGATGGAGCTATGTCAACTCATCTTCAAGATTCCCCTTCTAGAATTGTACAACAGTTACAAGTCCAAATGCCATGAATATTTTTGTATCACTGACATTTCACTGCTCATGGCACAGAGCAGTTCTAACCAGCCACTGCTGGAGGCCTGGACATGTTGTTTATTCGGGAGGAAACTGAAAGTTAAAGAACAACGTAAAATCGTCAGGGTTATGGTTAGGCACAGGAACTAAAATTGAGAGACATTTTCAGCAAATGAGATGTGTGTGTGCGTGTGTGTGTGTACGCACATGCACGTATGTGCTAGCACACACACACTTAATACTCTTCCATTGACAAGCGTTTAAACACTGAACACTTAATAAATAAAAGTGTCTAAAAAGATCTTTACAGACAAGTGCTGAGCCATAGAATGTCATGAATATCATGGTATTTGCCAAATGAGATGAAGTTGCTATTTGGCTCAGAGGTTCTGTCCAAGACTCTTCCTTGTGCCTCGTCCCCCTGCGGGGTTACAGCAATAGGCATTTTTCCGATAGAGGGATTTAGAGACAGAAACAAAGGTCATGAATGTGTGACTCTACAAAGAGAGGAATTCAAAAGAAGAGTACTTGGATCGTTCTACTGTGCTTTTGATCTCTTAATCAAATTATATGTAGAAAGTTACATGGCTCAGGCATTCTGAAAACAGCCTTGATCTATTTTTCATTTAATTCCTTCCAGCAAGTACTACTGAGAGCCCATGATGAGCAAGTCAACTGGAGACCAAGCACATTCTTAGACTGTCACCAGATTCAAATCTAAATCTGGAAGATTAAATACAAATCAGAAAAATTGAGATTATTCACTTATTTGTGAATAGTTATTGATAACCTACTATACGCTTAGCATGGGACCACACACTGGAGGATACAGTCACATGTGGTACTTATAGTCTGACGGGATGAGTGATTATTACAACTTCACATGGCATCACACGAAATGTCATTAGTAACTATGAGGATCATGCAAGAGAACCATGGTTAAGAGTATGTAGCAGATAGATTTTGATCCAGACCGGATGTCAGGGAAGACTCTCAAAGGAAGTGATAGTTGAGCTTATGCTACTCAATGATGAGTAGATGTTAACTTGGCAAACCATTGAAGATGGAGGGCTGAATGAACATAGTTCTGGGCATTTTTATATTTTTCACAAGTCAAAAGCAGGACAGCCTCTCTATTTCAGCCGAGTTTTAAAATACTCACCAGAGTCATTCGTCCTTATGAACTAAATTGAATGTGCTCTGGGCTGAGGAAGTCAGATGGCAGAATCACTCAGCAGTGACTCTCTTTCTGGTCTGACCATACTCCTGGGCAGGGCCAGCTGCCACCTACATGGAGTAATTGATGAAAGTGTATAAGACCCAGGTGCCCTCAAATATCCTGATGTGTTGTTGTCTTCCCTGGGCACATGTCTAAAGGCCGGAATTCCTACTACTAATTTTATCCCTTTGGGTTACCAACCTCAATAAGTGAAGTCATGGAGCATCATCCCTCTAAATCAGACTTTGCCGTGATTTTTCAAGACCTTGCATGATGTGGCTCCTTGTCTGTCTCCACTCACCCCCCAGCTTCATCTCTTGTTTCTCTCCCGCATGCTCAATGCAGCCCAGTCAGACCAGCCTCTTAGTTGTCTAATTACCATTCCCGCCCACCTCAGGGTCTTTACCACTCTCCCTCCCCCTAGCATGATCTTCATTCCTTTTTTTTTTTTTTCCAGTTACCTATTCTTTTACATTTAGATGTCAATAAATATCTCAATTATACTTTCCTCAGGAGAGCTTTCTCTAACCTTGTAGGCCAGACTACTTTCTCACGATACACTGTGTGAACATCTTGTACTTCTGCTTCTTAAATTTATCACAGTTGAAATTAATAAACAGTCATTTGTTATCTATCTGCCTTGCTAGTACAGTAAGCTTCCTAGAAACTTATGTGTTCTTTTTGTCTCTTTATAATAACTAGCACATAATAGCCACACAGTATCTACTAAAGAAGGGAAGGAGAGAGGGACCTCCTAAAGAAGAACTTTATCCAAGTTAACAAAAAAGTAGAGAGGAAAAAATACACATGTAGTCCAGGAAGTTTGTCTACCCACCATCCTTCCTTTAAATAACCACCCCTCACCCTTCCAAGTGACTTACATGGGAGAGTTTCCACCCCAGGGCTTGTGGCCCACGCCTCTCCATACCCTTGGTCGCCATGATTCATTCAGACATGTGCATGTGGCGCAAACTGGGTCAATTAATGTTCTTCCCATTATTTCTTCTCCCAGAGCTTTGGAGGAGATGTTCTTGTTTCTTCTTAAATCACCAGATGAAAGGAAAATGCAAATGAGGGGATTGGTAGCTATTTTCATTTGCCACACGAACGAAGTAGTCAGCAGCAGGAAAAATCAGGGAAAAACCCGTAACATAGCAAATTGAGACATAGAGACAGAGAACATGTGGAAACAGACTGTCGGAGCAAGAGTGACAGACTTTATGACGTCCTGTGGGGCTCTGCCCCAGCCACACTGAAGGCTTGGCTCTCTGCTCAGAGAGTTTTCCGTTACACAAATTAATCCATTTGCTTCCAATTTAATTGAAGTTGGATTTTTGTTCCTTGGAGAAAAAACAAACCTGACAAATACAGGAGTGGGGGACCTGTTTGAACAACTCTAACACTTCTTACAGAAGAAATTGTTTTATTCTTGTAATATCCCTAGTGCTGGAGCCATGCTCAACCTCTGACAGGAACCCAGTGAGTATTTTTTGGTTCACTGATGAGATAATGTAGGACCTAACAGTAACTGCTAATATTTTCAAAAGCACAGACAGAGGAAAGACGTTGAGAGAAAATCACTTCAACATGAGATACAGAGCTGTGGAGTGGCTATTGGGAAGTTCGGCCTGAGTAACCACAAAAGGCGGACAAGGAACCAGTCTTGAGGCAGTAAACACGTGGTGGACTCTGCCAGAGACCTGGGCTCGTAGCTCAGATCTGCTCTCTGCTCACTGCTGGACTCTGGGAAAGCAATTTAGTTCCCAGATCTCAGTTTCCTTATATGCAGATTGCTGATAATAATTTATCACTAGGAGGACTAGAGAGTTGTTGCCAGAAAGAAAACATGAAAATGGTACGGAATGCAACAAGACAGTAAAAAGGGCACAAGAATCCAATTAAGTGTTCTTTGTGCATGCGCGCATGCGCCCATGCGCGCGCGTGCACACACACACACACACACACACACACACACACACCAGAAGTAGTTATAATTTCAGAAGCAGATTACATTGTGGTTGAACACAATGCCCCATGGGCACTACTAAAATAAATGATCAAACACTCTAACTATGGTTCTAGGAGGATTATCTGGAAGCTTTTTCTCTCGGTCTCCATGTTCTAGGTTCTGGTTTCTAACTGAGAAGTAACTATACTGTGATCCTGAGTGTATGGATGGATAACCTCAGTGTGCCTGACAAGGTAACTGTTCTTTGAGACTTTTAAACTCTAGGAGGGCATAGAAATTAAAAAAAAAAAAAAAATCAAACTCAATCCTTAGTAGAAAAAGATTGTTAAATTCCTCATAATGTGTGTTCATCATTTAAGGTATATGTGTGTTGAAGAGAATCTGACATAATCAGTTTTGTAATTTTTAAGTGCAAGTTACTAGAGAATATAAGTTAGTTGAGACTTATTGGAATGCCTGAGAGAATGTGATTTATTACACCGAGAAGTTTAATGTCTTAAATTAATTAGGGCTCTGCCACTATCTGTGTGATTTTGAACAAGTTACTCAACACTTCAATACCTCAACATTCCTTGACCTTAAAGTGGAAATCAGAATAGCTCTTTTATGGGATTGATGTGAGGATTAAGTAAATTTCTATATGTGGAAAGCTTAGAACAGTATCTGGCATAGAGTTAGCACTTAATATAAATGTTAGCTGTAAGGGTTTAGAAAGGTTTTGCAACTCGAGGTATACATAAGTGTACCCTGTCATGTATTTGAATCACTTAAGCAAATCAAATTATTAAATTTATAAATTCAGTTAAAATACTTAAAGGAATGTGGTTAAATATCATTGATGGCTTAAGGAGATTTCGTCTATTCAGTTTGAGTTCATTGATCACTATTTCGATGCAGGGAAAAGTGATTTTATTTTCATATTGTTCATAGTTGACATAGTGAGAAAAGGTCAAGAACCATAGGTTGAATTAAAAAGTTAAAAGAAAGCTAAGTTTTTAAAATTTGTCAAATTTAGTAAGTTGAATATTAATTCAGATCCCAAAGAATTATCTTTGCTCACCAAGAGTTATTACTATTACCAACCTCAAAGGGAAATTTATAATTGACAAATATGGTTTGTAGTTAGTGTGAAGATAAAATACAGTGTTGCATTTTAGCATGTCTAGAACTACCTTCCAGTATCCATTAGGAAACTGCCTATACTCTATCTTTTTTTGAAGAACCAAGTGCTTGTTAGCATGTTGGTAAGCCTGTCTAAGTTTGTTGATCCCAGATTCTCCAACATTACTTTCCCATGGAGCATTTTGTTTGTGCACATCTGTCATACTTTGGGGCCAGCAGTTTGTGAACTTTAAGCCCTATAGAAAGTTTATAAATCAGCAACCTCGGGATGTCTGAGATAAGAATTCTTTTGCCTTCTAGAAGAGAAGAGGGCAGGTGTCTGAGGGCAGAAGGGAAACATAGCGGGACCCGCTATGTGAAGAGGAAAATGAAAGTGGAGGAAGAACTCTGAGGCACATTTTGCTCATGGACCAATCTCAGGCTGTTCCGACCTGAACTGTTTTTATGTAAACGTTGCCCCGGATGGCAATGTGACCTAGATCTATTCCTACTCAACTGTTCATCCCAATTTCTATTGCTCCTGGGAAAATACCTACAGTATTTTTATTTTAAAATATTTTAAATACTTTTTATAGTTTTTAACAAATGACTTGAATAACATGTCATTTCAGTGGTTGATGAATGGAACTGGCCAAATCTTTTGCCTAATGCTACAAAATTCTGGTGCAGGGGGTCAAACTACCTGGTAGAATCTGGGGAAGTCTATCTCTGGTATCCTCCGTGCTTTTCTGATGTCCATGCTTCAATTTCCAGAACATCCATCTTCTGGAGCTCGTGGCTCCATCTGCATCTTGTTGAGTCCCCTAGTGTGTCTGCTGGGTATCCTAGGGAATTATCTAAAGCTCTTTGCTCCTCAGATCCTAAACATGTCACTTCAAGTCCTCAATCCATCTCCCTTCCAAATGCCTTCCCCTTTAAGTTTTGCAACCTGGAAGTTGTCCTTTTTATCTTCCTGGGGATGCTTCCTCCTCCCTCTTTTCACCAAACTCTACTTTCTTTTGCAAGCAGCCTCTATGATGCATAGTTGTGGGTATGCTATTTTCTGAAACATTACACTTTACATAACAATTCTGTCCACAGCTTGTGTTTGCCAAATAAAATTATGCCTCTTTTTTAGTTTGTGAGTGTGTGTGTGTTCTTTGAAACTGCTCTAACTCCTTGTTGCTGTGATTTTGTATAGTTGAGGTTAGCCAGAGGAAATTTACGGCCCAAAAAAAAGGAGATCTGTCCATTTGAAGAGTTTTTGCTCTCTATTTTTTAAATTATTACCCATGACACTGTGAAAGCAAAATGATATGCTGTCAGAAAATCTGAGAAATAAAAGGCAGTGATGATCTTCACCAGAGAACTACACTTCAGAAATTGAGAATGGTTTCATACCTGAACAAAACTTCTGCTTTGAATGGTTGCTTGAGGTCACATTAAAAGGTTTGATGTCAGTCAATTGCATGTTCTGTGATTTGTGTACCTGAGGCATATAAATAGCCCCCTCTTAAAATGTTGGCCGGGACGTTTGGGTGGCTTCGTTGAGCATCTGACTCTAGGTTTGGGCTCATGTCGTGATATCTCAGGGTCATGGGATCAAGCCCTGAGTCAGGTTCTGCACTTAGCGGGGGAGTCTGTTTGAGATTCTGTCTCTCCCTCTCCTTCTGCCCCTCCCTCTCCCTCTAAAATAAACAAACAAATTTTTAAAAATAAAATAATGTTGGCTGCCAAGCAATCTAGGAGACATAACATTTTGTGCTAACATCCTCTCCTAAAGCCCACATAAGCAGTGGGGGCATTCTGAACTCCAATGGGACAATAATCGGTTCCTGTAGCATGAAACAAACCTTAGATGTTACAGTAGTTTTGGCTGTGTGTAAAAAGATGAAGTATATCTGTGGTATTTAAATTTCATGTGGAGGGTGCCTGCGTGGCTCAGTGGGTTAAGCCTCTGCCTTTGGCTCCCGTCGTGATCCCAGGAGCCCCACATCAGGCTCTCTGCTCAGCGGGGAGCCTGCTTTCCCCTCTCCCTGTCTCTGCCTGCCTCTCTGTCTACTTGTGATCTCTGTCTGCCAAATAAATAAATAAAATCTTTAAAAAAAATAAAAATAAATTTCATGTGGAAAAGAAGAGGCAATTAGGAAAAATGTCAGCAAGACTTCTTGGCAGGATAAAGGGCATGAAAATAAGATTGAGAAACATTCATCTAAACTGAGAGTTACGATGAATTGGTGGAAGTATTGAAGGTTCATTTCTCCCACTTCTGTCAGTTCTTGTTCTGCTTAGACCTCACAAGCAGGTCTGCCACTTGGACGGGTCTCACTTCTTTGATAGTAAAGTTATATCATTCCTCCCAGCTGAGACACGTTTGGTGTTTCTTAGATGGCATGTCGGGGATAGGCCATACATGTGGAATTTTTAAAAAAGTTTTACAGTGGTTCATTTGAACTAAATTTGACCTTTGTGTTGGCCTAACAAAACCCTAAATGATGGGTCTCCATTGCCACTTGTTACCACTTATAATTTGTAGGTACTCATAATTTGTAAGAACTTACAATTTCCATGCCTACTCAATCTCCAAGATCCAAATCAAGCATCACCCTGGTTTTAAAGCTTAAATAGAACTTCAAGGACTAAAGAGTAAGTATTCCTTCTTCTGAGCTGGCAGTATAAAGTACATCTGTCACTTACTGCACTGACCATATTGCATTATAATCCTTGTTCTCACCTTCTGCACTGAGAGCTCCCCTGGGTGGAAGCCACGCCCGACCCATTGCAGTCTTCCTATGCAGTGCGTGGTGGCCGGTGGATGCATCAGTGAGAGGGTGTGGTGCTGCCGCTCAGTGATAACTGGCAGTGTTGCTATCTCAAGGCACCTCCATTCCAAAGAAGTGGCAAGAAGGGTTCCTTTCATTTTTTTGAAGAATGTTCATAGGAAATATTTCTCAGTTAAACTGTATCAGTGCCCTTCGGCAATAATTACAGCCCTGCACATTTATTTGCAAATGACAGTGTGATTTTGTTCATACTACAAGTGTTCAGAATCTGGTATATTTTCTTCTTTATCCATCCCTGCTCCTTTCCATTCTCTCATTTTGGATAATGGCACTACAATTCCAGTTGCCCAATCCAGTTACCTGGAAGTTGAACTTGTCGGTCCCAATTCCCTTATCCCATCAAT